GTTTCTCAACCCCGACAACTTTAAGATGTGTGGACTTCAACCCCCAGAATTCCCCAGCCAGCATTCCCCAGCCATTCCCCATGGCTGGCTGGGGAATTCTGGGAGTTGAAGTCCACACATCTTAAAGTTGTCGGGGTTGAGAAACGCTGCTTTATTCAATGGAACGTGGAACGAGAAAGCCTTTGGCCCCAGTTGACTGGTTCATTCTCAGTAAGAGACATAAATTACACACAGCTTGGAAAGGGTCGAAAGCTGGGTTGGACGTGTCGCTCGCTTTTCAGTGTTGCTGTTATTGTGGGGTGGGCCACTTTGGTTTAGCTTCTTGTCGGCGTCGTACTCTGGGACTGGGCGAGGTTATCAATGCGGCTAAACGGAGTAAAATAATGCAACTTAGGAAAAAATAATGATAACCACTTCTTACAAACTGGACGAAAGCAGCTGGATGGAGGATGCCTCTGAAGAGATATCAGCCCGGTGAGGTAGACCGGGCCAGAGAATCTAGTCCACGGGAAGACTGGCGCTACACTTTGAGATTGGCTCGAATGACAAAATCTTGCAAGGGGGATTGGGCTGGACCTGCCCCCCTCCCACCTCCAGTGAATCAGGGAGGCGTCTCCCTGAGCCCCGTCCAGATGCTATCTTGCTTCTCAGGAGTTAAAGAACGTTTCAACCCCTTTTTCCTAGGTAATGGTTCTTGCATATTTCTGCCAAGACCTTCTTCCTTACTCTCTACACCAGATGAATAACCCCTTTCACAAGAAGGGGACAGTGAAGAGATCTTTTTTCCCTCTATAAATCCAAAGATTCTTTCTAAATTCAATCTCTCACCCTCCGTTCTGCTTCGGATACTGCATTGGCCCAATTCCGGACTTATTGTAACACAGGAAAAAATGACAGAGGTAGTCTTCGCTTAACGACCACAAGAGGTACCGGAAAATTCATCATTAAGTGGCTTGGGAAGTTTAGATTCAGTCTGGAGAGATTGATGTCAGGTTCAGCCCAAAGAACTCCACGAGACAGTGCAAATACAGTTCTGTTGCGTTTATTAGTTTCCACCTCCAAGACAGAATCTCTCCAGACTGAATCTAACTTCCTAAGCCAGCAAGCCAAAACACCGTGAATACCTTAGGGTGGTGCCAGTCTCATTTTCTTAACCTTCCCATGCTCCTGCTGGGGGCTAAGGAAATGCTTATCTCCCCAAGCGTGGCCTTCATCAAACCATTCCATCACAGGCGGACATTAAGCAAGGCATGAAGTGACCGGACCTGATTTTACAACATTTTTTGTGGCGGTCGTTAAGCGAATCGCGCAGTTTCCAGTTGATTTTGCTTGCCAGAAGCCAGCTGGGAAGGTCACAAATGGCGATCACTTGATCCCAGGATGCTGGAACCATTGTAAGTGCGAGCTGGTTGCCAAGCGCCCAGATCGTGATCATGTGACTGTGGGGGTGTTGTGATGGTTGTAACTTTGGGCATTGGTCATAAGTCACCTTTTTAGCACCGTTGTAACTTCGAACAGTCACTAAATGAACAGTCGTTAAGCGAGGACTACCTGTACAACAGGTAGTCGGATAATTTCCAGCTTTTTCCATAAATTCCTGTTCTCCTCCTATCAGGCATTTGCCGGATTCTTCTTTTGCTTTTTCCCTCCTGTGCTCCTGAGAGTGCATTAGCATCCTGAATGTACAAATGGCCACAGCTTATACTCCGTGTATTTCTTTAGGTGAGTTCTGCAGAAGGAGAGCCATGTTAGTTCAGAGTAGCCAAAAATCAGGAGGAGTCTGGAAGCCCCTTTCCCGGCTAACAAATTTTATCCAAAGGCAGAAGATTTTGTGGGCTGCAGCTTAGTTCATCGGATGCAATGCCTTTTAATAAAAAATACGCCTTTGAATAAAATGTGTCAGTCAGAAAGGGGGCTCCCAGGCTCCTTAAAACGTTTTGGTGAGCTGATATATTTGGCCCTGCACAGCCTTGCCTCTCATTCCTTTTCCCGTTCTTGAGAGACAAAAATATCACTGCCCCTTGCAGGTTTCTCTCTCTCTAGGATTCTGAGTTGTCACATAATTCACCGAAAGCCAACGGTTGCCATTCCCAGCCGCTGATTTCTCCTCTCCCTTGTTTCTGATCCATTGTTCTCTGGGGCCTCTCAGATTTTCCCCAGCCTGCTTGAAACTTCTTATTCACTTCTGGGTGAAATTTGCTGCCTATAATCCAGTACCATAATTAGTGCCAGCTCTCGTAGGATGCATAGAACCCCACGTACGCCACAGTCCAAATTTCTCCTCCCATCTTTCGGGGTGCCAGCAGGATGCAGCTCAAGCTGTCTCTCAGATGCCAGGCTGTAGCACCGCCAGTTCCTTTGTGCCAAGACAGCAAATCCCCTCGGAGGCGTGCTTTTTCCTGTCTAACTTTTCTCTTCCCCATCTGTACATTTATAGGCTCTGGCGGAGTCTGGCCTAGATAGATCATTCGCAGTTAAAAGAGATAAATTTTCCTCCGATCAAAAAAAGTCATAAGTCTGGCATCCTAATGCAGCAAACCGGCTTCCCAAATTGGATATTGGAAGAGTTAACACCCTTTCGAAAGACTTGAAAGTGAAGAAAGAGGAGTTTAAGCTCGGAAATGTCTATATCGATTACGTATTTTGTGAAAAAACGGTCTCTGTGCTTTAGACCAGGGTTTTTCAAGCTTTTTGAGGCTGTGGAACTTGTTAGTTAAAAAAACAAATCAGAGAATGTGTCCGCCCTATCAGGTAGACCAGAGTAAGAAACAGACACCATGCAGAACTAATGCTACTTTTATTAGAACAGTTCTAGTAACAGAATCTTGCAAGACTGAGTGTGCTACCTTTCCTTCCTCTTTTATCTTCATGAGAAGTTGGGGAGGGGGGGTCTGTCTGAGACATTTTTGCAAACTTTCTTGGCTTGGGCTCAGATTTTATTTATCTGACTGTTGCCTTGATAGCGGAACTTCCCTCTGTCTTTCAAGGCCATCCTCTTTATTCACTACAGAACCCCTGACTGAGAAGCAAAGCTCTGGTGATAGAAAATTGGCTGCATTTAAGTGAACTTGGGGGGGCATTAATCTCTTAGAGAACCCCATTGAGTTCTTGTGGAACCCCAGGGTCCCTTGGGACGCAGCTTGAAAAACCCCGTTCTTTACACTACAAAGAACATATTCCTTGGTGTGGTTTAACGAGATGTGTTCTGTTCCGTTGCAGTAAATATAATCCGAGAATTTGTTCTTGCTGTTTGTCATCACATACGCCCTGCTGCAAATGGGACTTGGAGCCAGATCTCAAAACGCTCAGGTGGATTGTTTATTCTCTGCAAACGGTGCAATGTTGTCCTTTTTCCTTTGCTGTTTTGCAGCAGGGCAAACAAGGCTCGTTAAGCTAAACGAATTAGATTCTGCTGCTGGGTATCTGGACTTTCTCAAAAGCCAAGCCAATGCCCGATTTTGCATTTTTAATAGGTTTTTCTGAGGTGGGAAAAAGAGTGAAGCCAGCCTTCTTCAATTTGACTCCATATTGGGTTTTTTTTGGTGGGGGTGGACTGGGAAAGTGTGCAGGAGTGACCCTAAGATCCCATCTGAAGGATGCAGTTAAACAAATGGGAATAGGTTTGAGTTGGATACGTCAATCTTCTGAGTTTTTCCACTTCTGCTTTGAACGGGGACCTGGAAGCTGCACTTTCTGCTGCAGAGAACAGGAGTCGGGTCTGAAAGTAGCCACACACTGGGTCTTGCCAGGAATGGTTGGGGGAAAAGAAGGTGAATTGGTTTCTTTCCATGCTGCTGTGATCCAGATGCTGAACCAGCTCGAATTCCTCCTCCTTTACAAACTCCCGAGCCCCCAGTATTAAGGCAGGGCAGGTGCATAAACATGGCCTCTCAACACAGCGCCTGCCAGCATCCCTGGCGCCTTCCTTCCTCCGACCAACTTTATCCCGGGTTGCTCTAGCAACGGTTGCTAAGACAACTGTTGAGCGTTGCTCCGATTGGGCGAGGAAGATAATGGGAGGACAGGGGAGACGGTTTGGTACCTGGGTGAACTGGATGCATGTCAGAAGCAGAACAGGGAAGAGCGTTCACAATCCTCTATTTCTGTTTATTAATTTATTTATTTGAAGAAGGGTAGGGGCGTGCATCTGGGGCACACAACTCTGGGTGGTTAATGGCAGTAATAAAAACAAGAAAAACAGTGAACAAAAAATCAAGAAAAGCCAAGCAATCAATCCATCGATTACATCCATTCATCATTACCAGTGTTTTTCAAACTTGGACGCTTTAAGATGGGTGGACTTCAACTCCC